TGTACCCCAAGAATAAATGGTGGCAGGAATGAGAAAAGATAGCAACAAAAGCTAGGTTCAAGTGGCAGACTATTTGCCTGATGGGCTAAGAACCTGTACAACAATAGACGAGGCATTTATTTATACTCTTGCAAAGTTAGTATCAAGATTACCTAGTGACTGATAGCCCACACTATCTCAATAGGATACTTTTCTCAAGACTGAGGTAGCTTGACTTCTTTAGGCAATGAGGCCGCATCCTGCCCTCACATATGACCAGTTTCCAGCTTCAGTCATTCCCAACAGCAGCCCACTTTGGCACATGTGCCACAGGTTCACCACCACCGCCTGAGAATATAGCAGCAATCTGTTGTTAATGATGCATTTCCAATTCAAATGTAATCCCAATGTACACAGCTTTGGTCAATTGGTAGGAGAGAGAGGGCAATGGAGGTTCCCAATGATATTAAAAGTAAGTATGGATCAAGAAAAACCGAAAATGACCGCTCTCTTGAGGAACATTCTAGGCAATGAAAGGGCCACTATTAGCCCCGAAAATATTCTTGCGTAAATGAGGAAATGCTGCCTCCTCTGAGAAGACAAAACTGCAGGCCTGTATTCATGCCTCAGTCAGCCTGATGTGGGCTGAATTCTTCCCTCCTTCCTCCTCTTGGCCAGGTGTCATTGCACAGTGAACAGCCAAGGAGCCCGTGTCATGGTTTAGAGAAGGGAGAAAAGAGGGACTGCAGACCAAGTGGGATTAAAAGAATCACTCAGAGAGAAACAGAAACTGAGATAGAGACAGGAGAAAGAGGAAGAAGAGAAAAGCAGAAACTATAGAGGAAAGTTCACCTGGAAAAAATAACCAAAAGAGGAAAGAAAAAAGAAGAGGTCAGGGTACACTGGACTTGCTTCTCTATGGCTCATCAATGCCTGGTCATGGCAGTAAGGGCAGTCTAGGTGACTACTTTAACATCCAACAAACTGTTATAAAAATGGACTGTGTGAGGCACTGTGATTGAGCAGGACAGAGAACTGGGAGCTGGCTTCCTGCCCTTAGAGATTACTACCTGTCCCAGAGAGCAAAGGATAAAATGAAACATCTATCAACTCCCCACCTCAAGGCCCACCAAACTATGTGTGATTAATTCTGACCAATTCTGACAAGACAAGCTGAAGGAGGTCTAATAAGGTTAGGCATTTAGAAAGTCAAGCTTGACCAAGGGAGAAACAACCAAACAACTAACCAACCAAGCAATGTTCTTGCTGGCAAGACACATATTATTGATATAGATAGATGCTAGGCCTTAATGAAAATGTCGAGTGCTGCCAGGCATAGTGACTTATGCCTGCAGTCCCAGCACACAGGAGACTGAGGCAGGAGGATCACTGTGAATGCAAGTCTAGCCAGAGCTAAATAATGAGTTGAAGGCAGCCTGAACTACATGGTGAAATCCTGTTTAAAAAAAAAAGCCAAGTGCTTTCTCAGGCATTTTCAATTATTACAGTTTGTGTTAAAAACAAAAACAGTGGTTTGATCCACTCTCTTTGTACTACCATTAACCACAAAAAATTCTCTGCCACCTACTGCATCTGCCTTGTGGCCTGATTTCAAAGATTCTTTTAATAGCCTGAGGCAGAATCTCCTTATGGCATTTCTTATATCCTCATGGTGGCACCAATTTAGAATGTTCTGAGCACCTGGAATTGAGGAATATATTTATGCTTTAAAATTCTTGAAAAACAGCTCAAAATAGCCCTGGTCATTGTCATCTCAGGTCCTTACTGAGAAGATAGCTATCAGCCAAATGAAAGCTAAGCCGAGAATGTGTAGATGGCTCCAGGAAGAGAAATTATACTAACGGGAAAAAATATGCTAAAAATAACCAAATCTGTTGCATGCTCTTATTTTAGCCAGTACTCCAAGGTTATGTCCTAGTTTTCTGTTTCTTTCAATAAAGCAAGCATTACTCCTTGAGCCTTAGCTATTGAGCCAGGCTTTGCAGGTATAGCAGTGAATGAGAAAGAAATAATTCCTGCCCCCAAGAACCTTACAATCACATTATTAAAAAGAATGATGCAGTTATTTTTAAATTGAGATCTGAGGCCAGAATAGGAGTGAGCTTGACAATGAAGTGAGAAAGTGCAGAAGAGCCGTACAGATCTCCTGTGGCTGGTGTAGCTACTGTGCAGCTCAGGAGAAGTGCTAGTGCACAAGTACAGGTTAGTCACTGAGCTCAGGAAGGCCAAGCTGAGGAAGACCTCTGCTTGTTTGTTTTGGAGGCGAATCTTGGCTTTTTCCTTGTCTCAGTTGTCTGTCTGAAAAATATATGAAAATAAATACCATTCGTGTGAAATAGCCATTCCAGGTAGAGCAGAGACACCACAGAAACTCCAATGTAAAGAAGTTAACATGTGCATTTCACATCACAGGACCACACAAGGCTCCATGCACCCTTCTCTACTTCCCCAGCTCCAGGCAGAGCCACTGCACTATCTAAGAGACTCGTGGGCCTCTCCTGGCAGTGGATTACAGAGCTTCCAGTAAATTCTATTAGCTTGAGCTTCCTGAATTCTAGCCTAAGGCTGCCCAGCTTCTCCATAGAAACAGAGCCCAATCTTTTAATATTAATACCATCAGTTCTACGAAGGTTAAATAGTGCAAATGACTTTAGTATGTCCTCTTCAGGTCGCTATGCCTGCCATTTAATCATTTTAATTCATTTCCTATTCATTTTAGTCAATCAAATGCTTAGAGAAAGAAAGAAATGCTAGTAGAGGAGAATCCTAGAATTATCATAAGTTTGAGTAATAGCCCTAAAAATGTATAAAGATTTCAGTTCTTTTCATTTCCCTTCCCCTAGTCAAATTCATCTACTGTCACACAATAGAGGGCGTCAAGGTATTCTTTTAACATTTTCAATATATAATTTTGCAGCTAGAATAAAAAAGAGGAAGAAATATTTCTACTTTGGGAATTGCTGGAATTTGAGGTATAGTGTTTTCTCCAGGGCTGGGGAAGAGTTCTGATCTGGGAAGAGACCCATTGCTATGTGGAAAATGATGGTGGAGAGCAGAGTTTGCTGACTCCTGGGCTTCTCAGTTCTCAGCAGGAAGGGGGCATGTGCTCAGTCTGTGGTGGACAGGGCTGTGCTGAGTCACAGCAAGTGTACTACATGCTCCCTACCTATGGCCAAAATTTAAGAGACTTCATGGGTTTTTGAGCTTGACAACTTGTGGTTGAATTTCGGCTTAGCTCTTATTATTTATGACCTTGAAATTGAGAAGTTGAGACCATAGAAGGGCCATACAGTAGAGCTCGGTGACTTTGTCTAATTAGCCTAGTGGTATATGTTCTTCCAGTGGGAATTTCCTCTATCTTCACTGTCCCATGCACATGAACAAAGTCACCTAAACAGAAGTGACTCACATGATTAGTGTGTGGTCCCCCATGTCCTGCTGTTTCAGGATCACCTGTCCTTTGGAAACTCTTCACCTCTCAAGTCTTTCTGTAGTTCCTTATAGGTCACACTCAGTGCAGTGCCCCATAAATAAAACTATTCTCATAGGTGTCACTGGCCTAGGAGATAGAAAAGCCTCTACCACACCCAGATATACCCAACTTTGTTATAATATTCTTGGGGTAGGATAATCCTCACCAGTCCCATACCTGGTCTCAAAGGCACAGAGGGAACCACTATTCCTCCATCAAGGTGTCACTTCTGATGTCAAGAAGTATCTTAAGTGGGTATGTTAAGCAAAATTCTAAGAATGACTCATTGTGATCTTCACCTTTTGAATGTGGAAATATGATAATGTGAATATGACAATATATCATCCTGTTATATATATATATATATATATATATATATATATATATATATTCCTGTGGATGTGTTATTGTATACCATAGCTGGTAAAAGAAAGATTAGCTGAGTGGGTCTAACCCAAAATTAATGAGCCTTCTAAAAGCAAAAAAAAGTCTCCGAAGTCAGAGAGATTCAAAGCACAGGAAGTATTTGAGGCTCTGCTAATGCTGACAGGATGAAGGGTCATGGTGAAGAGAATATAGAGATCCTTGTGAAGCTGAAGGCACAGCCCAGTGATCAACTAGGAGGGAAAAATGGGAACTTCAGTCCTGTAAATGCCAGAAACTGAACTCTACCAATCCTACAAATGGACTTGGATGTCGATTCTTCCCCAAAGCACCAGCTAAGAGCTGACACCTTGACTTCAGCTGTGTGAGGACCTAAGCAAAGAATTCTTCTGTTGCTGATTAAAACTCTTACATGCCACATTTGCTTATGATAAGTTCTAATGGGAAACTTTGCAATTCCACCTTGAGGAAAGGAGTGGAGTTCCCTCCATCAATTCACTCATTCATTTATTTGCAAAATAATGGATGCCCATCAATCCAAGCTCTGTTCTGTGTTCTGGTATACAGAAAGAATGCCTCAGAGCCCCATTTCTCATAGAGCTCATTTTCCCCAAGAGGTAAAGAGACAGACACATACCTATGTCAAGTGATACCAACTTCCATGAAGAAAAACAAGACTGGACAAGGAGACTGAGAGACACGGAAGTGGGGAAAATGTTTTACATGGAATGATCTGTGACCCATCTGGCAGGGACACCATTTGAGTAGACCAAGAATGAACTCTGCAGATACAAGGAGGAAGAACACCGCAAGCAGAGAGAATCACAAAGTAAAGGTGCTGAAGTGGACAGCACTTGGCATGATGCCAGCACTGATGGTGATGGGGAAAGAAGAACCAGGGGGTTGGGACATGTGTACAAGTAAGGGTTGTGAAGTTTCACAGTGGAGCACATAGAGTCCCATAAGCTACTGAAGAATTATTATGTTTTTAATTGCTAATACCATCACTCTAATTTATAGTAGGTTATTGTAATTTGTGCTTTCCTTTCTGAAGTGTAGTCTCACTATACAATTCAACCTTAATTTTTTTTGTCTCAGCCTCAGAGTCCCAGGATCACAGACTTGTAGCACAGGGCCTGGCTGTAATATTCCTTTTTATATGTGTCAAAACTCATACTGAACAATGAATTCTGGGTTGCAAACAAGGATTTTTTTTTGCACCTGTCTATTAAGTTTTAGTCCATAAGTTGAGACAAAAAGACACACAAGTGCTATACTGAAGAACTTTGACATTAACCATGGAGGATATAGAAAACCCTGGGAGACTATAACAGGAAGTTTTGCGAGCTGACTGAATTTTGGTAGCAGAAGAGCTGGAAGTTATCCACTGAGCTGTATAACTAAGTTCCTCTAAAAGTTATGCCCTGAGAGGTGATGATGGCTTGCTGAAGAAATGGTAGTGAAGACACTGAAATGCTACTGGATTCTGTGAGAAGGTGACATTGGCAAGATATGTGGGTGGTCAGAAATACAGAACATACAGGAAGGAGAAGAATACATAACAACACACCAACAATGGATGAGGCTCAAGTTCTTTCTTAGCAGACACCTCTGGCTTTCAGCTCAGTTCCACCAGTGCTCCAAGAGCCTGCAAATATTTCTGAAGCCCACTGGGGATGTCCCCATTTTGCTGAATATAGCTATGGACACTGACACATTCTTGCTGGAACACAAGAATTGTGATGATGGCAAAATCTTCCTAGCACAAAAGATCCTTGACTCAGCACTTAGTCTATCATCTTGCTTAGCACAGAAGTGCAGGAGCAACAATAGCTCTGGTCCCCAGGCCCCAGCTCCAAGAGACTTTATAACTCTTTGTCCAGCTCACCTGAGCACAGTGTTGAAATCTAAATATGAAGCCTTGGGAATGAATTGGGTGAGATTCTGAGTCTGAGCTGGAGAACCATTCTAGACAGGATTTCATGTGTGCTTTAGGTTCTCAATCTAATCATTACACTGGTGTATGAACAGAGAATATGTTTTGGAATTCTGGCATGAGAATTACATATGACTTCTGAATGAAAAGTATCATTTTATAAATAAGAAAGGTCCAAATAACATAAACTTTTTATATTGTACAGCTAAAAGCAGCTGGTCTGGGCAAGATGGTGGACAGCTGTTTCTCCTCTTCCTCCTCCTCCTTCTCCTCCTACTCTTTCTTCTCCTCTTCCTTCTCCTCCTCTTCCTCCTCTTTCTCCTCCTCCTCTCCCTCCTCATATTCCTCTTCCTATCCCTCCTCCTCCTCTTCCTCCTTTTCCTCTCCCTCCTCCTCCTCTCCCTCCTTTTTCTCCTCTTCCTCCTTCCTGTTAGCCTTAGGTACAGTAGGCAACAAAGGAGAGGAAAGAATGGTAAGAAATAGTAAGTCAGTGTAGGACACCAGGCCTCAAGGAACACTGCCAAAGGAAAGGGTACCCAGCCTGAGAACTCTCAGTCCTCCACTTAGCAGCAGCAAGCCACCCAGGTTATTCCTCTCCATCAGGCTAGAAACCCTCTGACCTCAAAGCAGATCAATTAGAACCCTACCAAAACATCCATGGATGTGCTTGCTTTTACTGAGGCCTCATTCCCTTCTTTTCCTCTGGGAGATATCAAGGCAGGCAGAAGACCTAGGAGGAGAGAGCCAGCTCTACCGGATGACTGGCTCTGAAGGCTCATGTTCCTACACTCCTGAGACTGTCCTCTACCACTGAGAGACACTAGAGAGGGGAGTACAGCAACTGAGCTGGCACAAATAATACCACAAAGTCTCCAAAAATTAAGAAGCTACAACAAATGTTAGTTCATAAGTGATTCTGATATTTTTGCTGTTGAGGATTAAGAGGATAAGCTGATATATATGGCAAAGTTGAGCTATAGGGACAATGAAACATTCTTTGTAAAGTTTTTATCTAGAAATTGAAATGTCCAGGTAGAGTTTCTTGCAGCAAAACACCCTTAACCTTACCTTATATTTTAAACACAAGCAGATTGAGGTTAAATTGAAATACACAATTTTATTGGTATATAGGAAGTAAGAAAAGACATTGGTCTGTATAAAACTCTAAAATAAAATTTGATTTTCAGCTAAGGTGCTTTGGGGAAATACACATAAAAAAGCTTTCAAATAAAATTGAAATATGCTTTTGAGAAGCTGTTCAGAGTAGCAGACCCCCTAGCTGTATTAAGAAGACTTGCTCTTGCAGGCCAAAGTTTAAATATAAAATCAGACCATTTTGCTGAATTAGGGAGGAATTTAGGGTCCTAGGACTATCAGGGAAAATGGCAGCTAAAATAAGCAATGAAAATCTTTGGAAACTTCCCAAACCAACTATATCTAAAGCAACAGACCAAATAAGCTTGCCGGTTTCAGAAACCAAACTAGGGAAGAAAGTAGAAGGCTGGAGTGGGGAGATTAGCTCACTAACATTTCAAAACAAAAGAAGAATATATGAGAACCCAGTTAAAGGTGATTTTAAAAATGTGAAATAAAACACCCCTATGGAGAAGCCATGAAATTAATTAAGTAAACATGTTTCATCTATTATCTCCACATTGAATATCGGAGCCCTCCATGTGCTACCTGCTTTATGAAGAACAGTAGAATAAATTAGCTCTCATGAAAGCCAACGAAAATATTTAAGAAAGTTCTAGTATTACCCAGAAATTTTTAAAACCTAGTTTTTAATTAATAAAATCTTGTTAGCTATATTCCTTTCACAGTGGAAAAGACCTTCTAAAATCTACTTGTATAAAGGAAATGCATATTGCTTGAGCTAAGCTACAGAATCAGCCTAAGCCACCACCAATGGATGAATAGACAAAGAAATGGGGCAGGCCTGCACAGTGGAATATCATACAGCCATAAATGAAACCCTGTCATTTGCAGGAAAACGATGGAACTAGAAATCAAGATATTCAGTGAAATAAGACAGACACAGAAAGACAACACCATGTGATCTGCTTCATCTGTGGAAGCTAAAAGGAGTCCACCTGGATGTAGAATAGCAATTTGGTATAGATAGGCCTTAGGAAGGATAAGTACAGGTGGGAAAAGAGATTGGATTTGATCCAATGCATATTACAATTACAGGCATGTACCAAAAATTACACTCAACCACATTAATATGTATAATTTTATTCTTTTTAAAATTTAATTAAGTTTATTGGTACATGTTAGATAAACATAATGATCATATTCATCATACAGGTTTTGTACCTGTACATGAAATGACCTTATTCTTCTTTCCAATTCTACTCTCCCCTTCACCCCTACTTTCCCTCCTTATTTAAAGAAGCTTGTTTTTCATATTTCCCTCTTTTCTCATTTTTTTCTCTTGCTTATTTTTCCTCTGCTCCTTTCATAGTTGCCCTTCTCATTTGAAAATTTTCTTCCTCTTTCACAATATCTACAGTATTATAATTTTTGGTCCTCATTTATATTCTTAGTTTCTCACACCAGCAAAAAACCACATGATATTTGAACATACATAACCAATTTATTTTACTTAAGAGTATAGTCTCAAGCTACATTCATTTACCTAGAAATGTCTCCAGTTTATCTTTCTTTATGGTTGAGTGGTACTCCATTGTATATTTTAAAAAACCACACATCTTCTTTATCTACTTATTGGTTAATGGGCATTTAGACTGTTTCCAAGATTTAGCTCTTACAGCTTATGCTGGTATAAACATGCCTGTGCTTTTACCACTGTGGGAGATACTCTTAGTTGGAGAAGATACCAAGAAGGGGAATAGGGGAGTCAAATGGAACCTCTAGCTTCAATTTTTGGAAGAAACTCCACACTGACCTCCACAATGATTGCACCAGTCTATACTCCCACCAACAGTGGAGAAGCATTCTTCTTCTTTTTTTTTTTCTTTTCTTTTTTTTTTTTTTTTTTTTTTTTTTTGGTCACAGTTCCACCAGTATTTGTCATTGTTGGTTTCATGATGGTAGCCATTCTTCCTGGAATGAGATGGAATCTCAGTATTGTTTTCATTTGCATTTCTGGAATAACCAGTGATGTTGAACATCTTTTCATATGTTCATATGCCATGCCCATTTTTAGACTGAGTCTTTCAATTTGGAGGACCTGATTTTCTTTTAATTATTTATATATTCTAGATATTAGTGTTTTGGGGAAAAATGTTTTTCCCACCCAGTGGATTTTCTCTTCACTCTGTTGGGGGTTTCTTTTGCTGTGCAAAGGATTTTTTAAAAGATGACATCCCAGTTGTTTATTCTTTGTAATATTTCCTGTGTAATCAGGATTTTGTTCATAAAGACTTTTCCTACACTTATGTCTTCAAGAGTCTACCTAATCTATCTTCTAGCAGATTTAGTGGTTCTGTTTTAATATTTAGATCTCTGACCCATTTCAATTTTAGTGCACTATTTAATGCATCATGAGAGATATAGATCTAGCATTGATCTTCAAAAAGTGGAAAGGCAGTTATTCCAACATCACTTATCAAACAATGCTATCCTAAAGACAAGAACAAAAACGCAAGGTTTCTTGAAAGCAAGTGGTAATATCTAACCATATGTCCAATCTTACACAACTATATCTGCTAGTCTGAGCAATAATTTTAATGATAAAATACATAATATATCAATCATTGTTAATCAGCTATTCTTGGTTTGTAAAACTGTAACACATGTACTATTGTATGTTTCCCTGTTTCTTTCTTGGTTCCTAATTTTTGTTCTTGATTTGCTTTTACTTTTCAAACTAAAATTTTTTAATAATGCTATCCTTCCAGTGAAGGTGTTTGGCCCCTTTGTCAAAGATAAGGTGGTTGAGTATATTTAAAGTCATTTCTGCATCTTCTCCTCTGTTACATTGATTTTCAAATCTGTTTTATGTTTTTTTTTAGCTGTCATTTTTTTTCAAAGTTTTATTGATAAACACCTAGCAATGAGACAGTTTCAAATCAAATCGGA